TCGGGAAGGCTTTCGTTTGCATGTTCGTGCCTAAAAGCGGTTCTTTTGTTATGTAATGATGAATCCGCTCTGTGTTTGTTAGAGAGGTAAGTTGAACAGCATCTTCGGATAATTCTCTAGTCTATCTAATAACGAAATTGTTTGATGGAAGGACCCAAGAATGCCCATCTGAAATCAGCCTCAGACAAACAAATAAAATTTTCAAATCAAATACCCTCGACTTGTACACGTCCAATAACTTGCGCCACATAGGATCTGAGCCTTCAGCTCATGAGTTTCAATCCTATCTGCCTGGATCAGCAGAATCAAATGCCAGTCGAACACTCCCCTCCTACGTATCGGGCCATTCATCTACATGAATAGAAGAATTTCGAGGAAATTTTTATTGAATTTGATGTCGCATCGCCCAAGGAAGCTGGCTGTAACCACACAGCTTGTGGCAGGAAGACCAATCTGATGAAACTTGAAGAGGGTGAATTTCATCAGGCTTTTCTTCCTTACCATGAATGATTGTTTTAAAGTCATTTGTCAAAATTCCATACCACATCGTTCTCCGCAAAAGGCAATCGTTTGCTGTTGGGGTTGAATACATCGTCATGGAGTTTGCCCATGGCATTTTCCTAGACTCCTAGACATCAAATGGGTTGACTTCAACAAAGCGAGAGCAATACATTGTGGCTATTAAGACGGTTTGGAGTTGAAAAGAAGCTCTTCAGCATTCTACTTCTCTCATTCGGAACCTTCAAGGGGGTTACTCTTCTTGACTATTGGGAATCGTGAACTGGAGTGTTCAAAAAGGGTTGGAAGACCCTTCTTCAGAGGATTCTTCTTATAACACACTTCTACATGGTGTGATTCCTGACACCGCATATTGCTCTTTGCTTGAAACATGTTTCACAATTGTCCGTTTTCTGTTGCCAGAAGACCCAAGAAACCATGTGCACCACACCTCTGCTACTCAGAGTGTAAAGTTTGATAAATGTCTACAATGACAAAGATCTTACCCCCAACCACGTGTGGTAACAACTAAAATCAGGAGGGCCATTGACCAGCAGTGTACGGTGACATACGGTGATTGTAGCTTGACATCCTTGCCTATTTGAAAACCCCAAACCCCGTTGTAAAACTGGTGACACTGATGCGCACTTATTCAGCTCACTGGCTTCTTCGTTTCAAAGTCAGATCGAGAAATGTAGATTTTATGGAGGATGAATTGAAACAGCATTATGACGGTTGAAGCCGCATGTCTCGACTTTACCGCCGTCGTCAATTACTGGCGAGGAGAGATCGGTGGAATGAGCGAGGACGTGTCAGTGAGGAATCAGGGGAGAAGAACCAGGTGTTTCAAGAGCGGTTTCTGAAGCAGACGATCGCCTAAGGATGGATGGTTTCAGGACAAGGAAGAGTTTTTTGACCCTGCCTGACATCCCAGTTGGGTGAGCTTTTGTGTAGACCAGGATCCTTCGTTTCACTTGACTTTATCATTGATATTTGTTCCTTATTCCCCTGCACCAAGGCCGTTTCTAGCATGTCAGGCCTAGGGCTCCAAGAGTGGTCTCCCCGATCCCTTTTTCCCGGAAAGATATCTTGGGACTTTCTTTCTTGGATAATAAAGAAATATTTTAGAATGATTGTTCGTAATGCTTCAGTAGCAACTATGATCCATGGATATGGTTCAAAATTTCTTTTTGGATCGTCGTCCTGCCCAAGATCAGCTGACAACTGCCTCGTTTCCAAGCTTGTTTTGACCGCGGCGAGAAAGGCTTAGAGGGACCACAGCTGCCCTACCCTTGCATAATAACCGAACTCTGCCCGCATTCAAGATCGTGAGCCATGAAGAATATGTTCCGAGATTCACGGGGAACATGAAGAGGACCCTTCTTTTGGTATTTATCCACGGTTTCAAGGTGTGCCATCCTCGCGACGCCGCCGCGCATTAGGGATTCGAGGAGCCTTGGTAATACTAACTGCGCAATCATTAGGGCGGAGACGATACGTTTGGGAGCTTTCCTGCCCATCTTCGCGCTTTAGTTAGTCATGCGCTGCCGAATATAGAAGTCACTGCGGTGGTTTACCCCAAGTTTGAGACGAAGGGGGATTTGAACGGATGTGTGGTCAGATTTCGAGAATGGTTAGTTGCCTAGTGGTTTGTATTTCAAATGATTTCTGTTAGAGGTCAACGGTATCTCACATATTGAATGTGCGCAGGCTCCAAAATACGGTTATCGACGTGGAAGTCGCAAATGGAACACCTTCTCCCACCGTTGACCCTTCTGTACATGTCTTTTTAATTGGCCATTCGATGGGTGGAATTGTTGCCGTGGAGACCCTCCTTCTTCTGGCGTCGGAACAGCTCTTGCCCACCCCGTCAAGTATTTCATCGTCAAAGACGTCAGAGGTAGAGGGCAATCCGGTAGAAGCTAACACATTCATGTTTCCTCACATCCAAGGACTACTTGCATTTGACACTCCATTCCTCGGTATCGCTCCCGGAGTTGTCTCATACACGGCTGAAAATCATTATAAAACGGCCACTGCTGCATACGGGGCGATTTCGGAGGTAGCTGGTGTATTTGGCTGGGGAGGTACCAAAACAAGCGAAAATAAGACTGGAAACACTCCTTCAACAGACGGAAATACCAAATCTGCTGCGTCCGCCCTTACCCCTGCTACGAGTACTTCAAACACAGCTTCCTCCACAGATGATGCAGCCGCCACCCCATCTTGGCAGCGCTGGGGGCGGTACGCTATGTATGCGGGAGCTGCAGGTGCCGTTGCAGCCGGCGGAGCAGCGGCATTATACTCCCAGCGCGACAAATTTCTAGAAGGCTGGAGCTGGGCTACCTCACATTTAGAGTTTGTAGGCTGTCTTGCGCGGCCTGAAGAACTACGACGGCGCGTATCAGCGACCGCAAAGCTGCAGCAGGAGCGAGGTATTGGTTGCGCGGATTTTTACACATGTTTAGGGAAGGGAGCAGTCGCTGCACCAGCTAATAACGGTACCAGCACATCGTCCCCGGCCTCGTCTCTTAGTCGGTATATATTACGCTCAAAGATGAGAACATTCTGCAACCTCCCGGCAGATGTTGATGAGGGCGAAAACAAAGATGATGTCAAGGCGAAATACAGCGATATGTCGGGGATCAAATGGATCAAAGCTACAAATGATAAAGCAACTGATGAAACAAAAGCACACATGAGCATGTTTTCCTCTTGGAAAATCCGTCTTTTCTATGATCTGGGCGCAGCAGCTTGCGAGTTGTTGATTGAATGGGTTGAC